ATCCCACAAGCAGAGGACAAATCACAGGCGCTCCTCGACTTACGATGGAGCTACATCCCAGTAAGCTCATCTTCGGCCGACAGATTGCACGTAAGTGGTCCACAGTCGACAGAAACAGACCTAGATATGACAGTGACAATGAATTAGCAGAAAAGGAACAATTATCTTAAATTTGCTCCATATGCTCAAGGGTATTTTTTTTTTCCAAGGGTATTTTTTAAAGCATGATTATGATTAGAAGAGAAATGGAAGACACGTGTTTTTGTTGTTGTTGTTGTTGTTTTTTTTTTGAGATAGTCACTCTGTCACCCAGGCTGGAATGCAGTGGTGCGATCGTGGCTCACTGCAGCCTCAAACTCCCAGGCTCCAGTGATCCTCCCGCCTCAGCCTGCCGAGCAGCTGGGGACTACAGGCATGTGCCATCACACCTGGCTAATTTTTTTTTTATTTTTTTATACGGAGTCGTGCTCTGTCGCCCAGGCTGGAGTACAGTGGCGCAATCTCGGCTCACTGCAACCTCTGCCTCCCAGGTTCAAGCGATTCTCCTGCTTCAGCCTCCCAAATAATTGAGACAACAGGAGTGCACCACTGTGCCCGGCTAATTTTTTATATTTTTAGTAGAGACAGGGTTTCACCATATTGGCCAAGCTGGTCTTGAACTCCTAACCTCGTGATCCACTGGCCTCAGCCTCCCAAAGTGCTGGGATCACAGGCGCGAGCCACCGCATCTAGCTTTTTAATTTGTTTTAAAGATGAAGTCTCACTGTGTTGCCCAGGCTAGTCTCAAACTCCTGGGCTCAAGCAATCCCCCGCCTCAACCTCCCAAAGTGCTGGGATCACCAGTGTGAGCACCAGCCTACCTGGAAGACATTTTTTAAAATACCAAAACCAAATTTATAGAGATGAGAAAATACAATGGCTCATACGGAAAACGGCCATGGCGTAACAGCAGCTTAAAAGAAAGATCAGTGAGCTTGAAGACGTGGAAACAGAATCTACCGAAAATGAAACGCAAACTGAAAAAGGTGAGCAGAGACTCACAGACCCGTGAGTCCAGAGCAAGCTGCCCATTCGAGTACCTGGGACTGTGGAGGCAGGGTAGGAGTCTGTGAATAGCTGGAATATTTCCAAATTGCATAAAAATGACAAATCCTACTAATCTTGACAAACCCCAGAACACACACACATACCCTGAAGCTTATCAAATTACAGAAATCCAGGGATAAAGAGAAAAAAAATCAAAACCAGCCGCAGAATACTGACATGATGACTGAAACATCATGTATCAGTCAAGAGACAGAAACATTTAACACAAAGAATGATTCAAAAGGAACAGAGGGTTCCACTAATATGTAAAGAGACTTCCAAGCACAGGGGCGCTGAGACCTCGGGAAAACCTCCACCTCCAGGACTCAGACAACAAACCTACAAGCGTTGAGTCTGGATCCCCGTGAGAACCTCGGAACCCCACATCAGCTGAGATGCAGCTCTGACCTGAGTGGGGCTATGATGTGCCAGGTGGTGCAGTTGGCCGAGGTGCAGCAGGCCAAGGCCTGAGGGCAGGAAACCCGGGGCAGGAGTGCCAGTGAGACTCACCCAGAAGCTCTCCCTGGGGCAGGAGGGAGGCAGACCCCCTGGGAGCTGGACAAAGGCAAGGAAGCTTAGCAGGAATCCTTCCCACCATGATGAAAGAACCTGGGTGTCACTAAACTCCTGGAGACTGTCACTGAGAGCCTCCACCCCCACCATGGGTTTGGCAGGCACACTACGGAAGCCAGGAAAAGCAAGCACACTGGAACCAGCAGGGCAGGCCCCGCCCTCCTGTGGAGTCCCTCCAGTTCCTTCCAGTGACAGGGCCAAACACTGTGCCAACCTGCAAAGGAGGACACAGGGAGGGCCCAGCTCCAGGGTCACACAGCAGGGCTGAGAAGGGTGCGCTGGGCACGGAGAGGCAAGACAGGGATAGCTGGAGACACCGTGTGGGGGCCACACACATCTGCACGTGCACATGCAATCATCATCCCCCAACCATGAAGCACAAAACAGGGCTCAACAAATCTAAACAGAGGGAAGTCAGCAAAGTATATTCTGAGACCACAATGGAAATAAAACCAGAAACCAGAAACAACAAATTCTGGAGGAAAACCCTAAATGTTTGGAAATTAAACCATACTTCCAAATAACCCACAAAAAATCACAAAGAAATCATAAGGGAAATCAGAAAAAAAAACGTATCACGTCAACATATACGGGGTGCAGGAAGAAACAGAAAGCTCTCCTTCCCGGAGGGGCCCTCGTGGCTGGTCAGCTGCTACTGGCTGCTGGCAGGAGGCCTCAGTTCTCTGCCATGGTAACCTTTGTAGGCTGGCTGAGTGCCCTTGTGACCTTGCAGCAGGTTTCCCCCAGGGTGAGTGATCTAAGACTGGGTGAGCCAAGGTTTTGGTAAGATGGCCTCGGAGAACAGGATCAAGGTTAGGTCTGGATCGTAGGTGGGCAGCGTCACTGGCTCCTACACCAGTCTGTAGGAACCGCAGGTCGGCCCCCTGCAAAACTCCACACCACACACTGTGGGCCTTCCAAGCCACCACAGTCGCGAACACGAGGCATGAGGATGCACTGCGTTTTCCACGCTGGGGTCGGGGTCTGGGATGAAGGACTGGCAGGATCTTCTAAGAGAAACATGCATAACTGAGAGCCAGCAATTCCACGCGCAAGTACACGCCCAACAGAAATTGCTTACGTATGTTCCAGAAGACAGATGCTAGTTGGGGGCAGTGGCTCGTGCCTGTAATCCCAGTGATTTGGGAAACCAGGGCAGGACTGCTTGAGGCCAGAAGTTCAAGATCAGCCTGGGCAGCAGAACAAGACACCATCTCTACAAAAACTACAAAACTTAGCCAGCATGCTGGCACACACCTGCAGTCCCAGCTACTCAGGAGGCTGAAGTGGGAGGATCACTTGAGCCCAGGAGGCTGAGGTTGCAATGAGCCAAGGTCACACCACTACACTCCAGCCTGGGCAACAGAGTGCGACTGTCTCTAAAAATAAAAAAAAAAAAAAAAAAAAAAAACAGAAGACAGGTGCCAGCATGTTCATCACCACACTATTCCTAACAGCTGAACTGTGGAAACTACCCAAACGCCCATCAATAATAGAACGAACGCGCTGTGCATTTTCACATAATGGAGTACTCGGCATAGCACTGAGAATGAACAATCCACAACCACAAGCAACAAGGGGGATGAGCCTCAGAGGGTGAAGCAGAAGCAGCCAGAGCAACAGAGGGAAACTGAGGTCAGGCCGGCCAGCATGCGTGTGCAGTGCCTAGAAGGGAACATGGGCGTGGGGGCTTCTCAGCAGGTGCTAAGTGTCCTGCTTCTCGTGGATAGTCACACACGTGCATTTAGTTGCTGAAATCCCAGTTCTAGTATTTCACATGCACTTTTCAGATGTACAGTACACATACTGTAAGCAAAATGGAGAAAGAGGGGCTGGGCATAGTGACTCATGCCTGTAATCCCAGCACTCTGGGAGGCCAAGGTGGGGGGACTGCTTGAGCCTGGGAGGTTGAGGCTGCAGTGAGCCGAGATCACACCACTGCACTTCAGCCTGGGTGACAGCGTAAGACAGTCTCGAAGAAAGTGCTTAGAATTAAATACAACAGGTTGGGTGCAGTGGCTGACACCTATAATCCTAGCACTTTGGGAGGGCGAGGCGGGAGGATCACCTGAGGTCAGGAGTTGGAGACCAGCCTGGCAAACACGGCAAAACTCCATCTCTACCAAAAATACAAAAATTAGCCAGGCGTGGTGGTGGGTGCCTGTAATTCCAGCTACTTGGGAGGCTGAGGTAGAATAATGGCTTGAACCAGTGAGGCGGAGGTTGCAGTGAGTCGAGATCATGCCACTGCACTCCAGCCTGCGCAACAGAGCGAGACTCTGTCTCAAAAAAAAAAAAAATACAATGACCACATTTTCTTAATTAAAGAGGTAGAACAAAGTCCAAGGAATGTCCCAAAAGTAAAATACACAGAAACTAAAAAATAACGGAAGAGAGCAGATGAAATTGAAGGCGTGAGATCCTCGCAGATGGCAATCAGGGTGGCGACATCTCACAGAACAGACCCAGCTGCGAGGCAGTCACAGGGGACAGAAAGGCGGTGGGTGCTGCTGTTCTGGGTGAAGGGGCAAGAGACAAAACTCTAAATACATGTGGAGCTGGGTTCCACCCATACAACTGTAAGAGGTATTTCCGGGATGACTTCGGGCAGGTGAACAGGAACCAGTCTATCAGTCAAGGTACCAGCAAGAAGGCGGCTGCACCATCCACTGAGACACACAAATGGCTACCGGCAGAGGGACCAACTCAGGACCAAGGCAGGATACTGAGGAATAGCAGGAAGCCGGCACCGCTGGGGAGGAAGCAGAGCCTCGGAGAAGCCCTGCAGTCCTCGTGGAAAGGCGTGGCCCTGTGGGGAGGCCATTCGGTCTCAGTCCAGGCCCCTCCGCTCTGCGGCCGTAGCACAAAGCAGCCACAGATAAGACATGGACAGGCAGGCATGGCTGCGTGCATAAAAATTTATTCTCAGACAATGAAATGTGAATTTCATGATTTTCATGTCACGAAATATATTTTTAATTTGTTTTCAACCATTTTTAAAATGTAAAAAAGCCATTCCCAGGCCATCTATCAGGCTGTGGGCGGGATGCAGCGCATGGGCCTGTCTGCCAGCCCCTATCTTAGGTGAAGATGCCAGCAAGGCAAACCTGAACCTCTCCTAAAACTAAGACTTTCAAAGCAGACTATGAATAAGAGAGCATGCCCTGCGCCAGATGCCCCAGCAGCGTGAAGGAGACCAGGCTGCTCGTACAGGATGGTGGTCCAGCGTGGCCCCTGCCTTCTAAAACCCCTGATCCCCAGCAGAGAGGAGTGGGCCTCAGCTTTGCAGACAGCACTGTTTCCAGATCAATGTTAAAAGGAAAACAAGGCACTTATGAAAAATTTGAAGCATTCCAGCTTTTGATACACAAAAGGATTCTAAGTCACCAGCGATACCCCACATCAAAGTCATCGCCAGCATGAACCTGTTCCTGTGTGGAGACTTCATCACTGGAGAGCAGGTAGGAGCCGGCCTGAACAAATTATGTGATACACCCAAAAGCCTGCCCATTGCAGAAGCCTCTTCCCAAATCACACAGTGCGCACCTCACTCACACACAGTGCAGGCACCCAGGCATTTTGCTTGGTACATTATGTTGCTGCTAAACATTCCAGGAAGTTGAGAAGGTTCATCCTTGCTGATTGGTGACTGAAATTCAGCAACATCCCTGCGGCTCTGCAGTGTGTGCCAAGGTCAAATCAAATCACGACGACGTCCTCAATCACCTCCCTGTAAACCGGGTGCCAGCCGGGCCCGTGTGCTCACACTTCCTGAAACAAGTTCACCGTCTGCCCCAGCGCTGCCGGACAGAGCTCCCTGCGACTCCGAAACACATTTCTCACTTCCCACAGGGGAGCCACTCTCCAGGAGCAGCTCCTGAGCACAGGGGTATGGCTGGGGCTGGGGCTGGGGCGGGCTGAAGCGTTCATGCTGCGTTTCAACAGCCTGTGTGGCGAGCAGCTACTGCGGGGCAGCGCATCACCTGGACGCTGAGACGGCGGGAACAACATGAAAAAGTCCACCGTGCCAGAAACATCGGCCCACAGATGCTCCTAGAGGAAGACGCAGCAGACATGAAGGGCAGAGGAGAACAGCAGAAACACAGACAGCTGCCGCCACCACAGGCTCGCACGCGGCCTCCAACGTGAAAAGGAAGTGCTTCAAGAGTTTCCACTCCACTGGTCTGGCTTCCCTTCAACCAGAAAGGGGGCACAGGCACCCAGCAAGAGCCTGTGCTGGTGACACAGAATGTTCTTTCTAGAGCCCAGGGGACAGTCCTGTCCTCTGAGCTGTTCACAACTGACCTCACCTTTTCCTTCTTGAAGGGAGATGCCAGAATGCAGGGGAACAAGTGAAAAAGCTTTTCCTAATTTGAGGTGAGAGGCACCACTGACCGCCACAATCAGCAACTCAAGGTCGCCTCCCCGGGCCTCATCTTCTTGGCCTGTCCGTTGGGCCCGGGCGGGGGACTCCGGCGCTGCTGCTTCTTCTCCAGCTGCTGCTGCAGTCTCTGCTCTTTCTTCTTCAGGTAGGAGGTCATGTTGTCGAACGTGGCCTTGTAGAGACTGCTGAAGTTGGCATCCACACCAGCAGAGCCTGTGATGGGGGAGCAAGGACACGTGCCAGGTGGGGCAGGAACATGGGCCTCGGCCGCCACCGCGGGCCCCCTGCAGCAGGGAGTTACTCTGTGACACCCGGAGTCCTCGGTGGACCGTGGAGGGTGTCTTCTGGGATGGTTCCCCACCGTGCCCACTTCCTGGCACCCACCCCCGGGCTGGACCTGAGGACTGCCTCCTCACAGAACGGGGCAAAGATGAAAGAATGTATCAGAAACCAGGGCACCAAGGCTGGCCTCCACCCTGCCAGCACTCTCTGCTCACGCGCCCAGAGACAGCCACTACTGCACCATGTGCCGCCCAGTGAAGCGGCCCAGGTGGCCGGGGATTGGGAGCAGTGGCCTCTGGCCAACAGCCAGAGAGGCCCCCTGGCCTGCCGACAACCTGGACTGAGCGAGGTCGGGCCCTGCCTGGTGAAGTTGAGGTGGCCACCTGCAGAGACACAGCTCAGCGGAGTCCAGACCCCTGACCCACAGCAACAGTGAGACGCTCAGGGTGGGGTGCCTTAAGGCATCGAGTGTGGCATAGCATGTTCTGCAGCCACAGGGAATGGACATGGATTTCATCTACTTTATCTAAGTGCCAAGGATTGGGGGGCAATGACTGACCACAGGCACACAGAGACGGCCTCAGCCTGGCCAGGAAACCACAGGCCCAGCCGGTAACTCACGCACCAGCGATGGCCTGAAGCCCGTTCATCCGGCAGGTGGCGCAGCCTCCCCGCCCCTCCAGTGACTCTGCTGTTTGTGGAACACTCAAGAAGCAGCCCTCCCCCGTCCCTCTCCCAACAAGGCCCCCAAGTCTGCGCCGGGAACGTGCCACTCTATCTATGAAACATCTCAGGAGAGCGAGCCCAGGCTTTGGCCTGAGAATGTTGTGCAAAGGTGACACTCAACAGGTCCAGGTTACCTGTGGCCTAGAGCACAGGCCATGAGCACTGCCGCCTGCAGCCCCTGACACAGCCGGTGACGGCCCACTTGGAGTGTTCCTAAAGCAGATCCCAACCACACTGGGGGGGCCCAACCCTGCCTGTCTCAACCCTCAACATCCTAAGCAAAGCAGGAGGGAGAGAAGCCTCAGAGGCAGAGCCAGTGTGCCACCACCACTCAGGAAGCTTGGCAGAAGGCGGTCGGGCCACCGTCAGCGGAAATTCCTCCGACCTGCGTTTGATTCCCTCCAGAGCTCCAAGGAACCTCAGTGCTCACTGCAGTGGGTCTGGCTTTGCAAGACTTCCTCAGAGCAGCAACTTCTTGTCGTGAATGAGGTACCTGGATTCCGTGCTGGGCTAACCTACCCTGCAGACACCATCGCCTCCAAGACAGCGCAGTGCTGGCGCAATGGCACACCCAGAATTACAATGCGCCGTGTCCCCCGAAGGCAGGGTGGAAAATGCTCATCCAGCTCCTCCCTCAGCCCGGCTGCTCTCCTTCCTGCAGCCGCAGCCACACAAGTTGCTGACCAGATTCCCTCCCCTCAGCTGAATGTTCCCGTCAGGACAGTGACCATCCAGCCCCTGCTCAGCCTCCTGAAGACCCCCACGCCTCTGGCTGGACCCCCACCTGACCTCCCAGTGGGGTCCTGCACTTGCTGACGCACGCTGTAGTGGGATCAATTCCCTCAACACCATGGACCAGGCCCGAGTCAGCACAGCACCCGCTCCCTCTGGGAGCCACCAGATTCCAGCCCTGCCCTGGGGACCTTCAATGCCCAACTCTGAAGGCAGGTGGGGAGCAGGGAATGCTGCTCAGACCCTGAGCCCCCAGTTCCTGCGTGGCTCTCGTCAGCCTGACTCCCATGGTGGGGGGGGTCCTCCTTCTCCTGTGCGCCACCCTCCTCCTGCCCCAGCCCACCTTCTGGATGGGTACACACGCTTACCCTCCCTCTTTATCTGCACACCGGGTCCCTCGGGCGGGTCACAGTGTGTGCTTCTCCTTTCTCTGGGGACCGTGCTGGGTGTGACCCCCAAGGGCAGCCTGCACCTGTGCTCTCACCTTCCAGCATGGCCCAGTTCCCACGAAGAACACCAGAGATTTTCTTTAACACGGCGCTCTCAGGAACAGACTGCAGATGACAAACGGAAAACCTTCATCAGAAAGAGGCAGGCCTGGAAACCCAGCACCAGGACGCAACACACACTGGCCACAGAGGCTTGCAGGAGAGGTCCCCACCTGGTGCCTGGTGACCCCCATTCGCCTTCCATGGAGACCTGGGGAGGCAGCACCCACAGCTGGCCCACGATGCCAGGGTGAGCTCTTCACACCCAGCTCATCAACCTCAGGGTTCCAGCAGGTGCGACAGGCACCCACTGGGGACATCATGTGGCCCACCACTTCTCAGGTAAAAAGAACTGGATGGCTTAAAAGTGCTTCCAGGCCAGGCGCGGTGGCTCACGCCTGTAATCCCAGCACTTTGGGAGGCCAAGGCGGGTGGATCACCTGAGGTTGGGAATTCGAGACCAGCCTGACCAACATGGAGAAGCCCTGTCTCTACTAAAAATACAAAATTAGCCAGGTGTGGTGGCGCATGCCTGTAATCCCAGCTACTCGGGAGGCTGAGGCAGGAGAATCACTTGAACCCAGAAGACAGAGGTTATGGTGAGCCAAGATCGTACCACTGCACTCCAGCCTGGGCAACAAGAGTGAAACTCAGTCTCAAATAAAAAAAAAAAAAAAAAAAAGGAAAAAAAAAAACAAAGTGCTTCCAAAGTGCTCAAATGAGCTTTAGTAAATGGGCACCTACTCCACTCAACTATACAGCAACCCCGTGAGACACGGGGCAGGCAGGGGCATTGCTCCCATGTTACCAGGAGCGATGCAGACAAGGTACAGGGCTCGCCCCGTCCCCCAGCAAGGAAGCAGCTCAGCCCGCCGCCCTTGCCCCCTCCTCTACCCGGGGCTCTACGTGCTCCCGAGTGCTCAGCCCGTGCCCCAGGCCTGAGGCTGTGCTAACCCAGCCTGCAAGTGTTAGTCTCACACACCCTAGCCACACTGAGTGCCAACTTCATCACTAAGTGTGGGGTGGGGGGCACACACTTTCCCGAAAAAATAACTGCTACAGACATCACCACACGGGATAAGCCAGCCAGGCACCGACTCCCTTCACCCACAGTGGAAGCCCCAACCACTGCCCCTCAGGACACAGAGCCTGGGCCCCAGAAGTGGCTGAGTTGAAAAAGGCTCACGTTTGGACCCAAAAACCACAGCTGCCACCCCACACCCTGAGGCTCGTGGAACAGGAGGGCACAGGACATCAGGAAGGTGCCGAGGCTCACCTGCCACTGGCCACCCACAGGCTTATGGAACAGCAGAGCACTGGATATGAGGAAGGTGCCCGAGCCTCACCTGCCACTGGCCGCCCACAGGCCTGTAGAGCACCAAGGGTGCTTCCTGGCAGTCCTGGAGCACCCACAGGCCCTGGGTCTCCTCGAAAGCCACGTCCCACACTTGGTGCTGGAGCACCAGCTGCTGCCTGTACACCAACTGCTGTCTGTGGGCGTCCAGCTGGAAGATGTAGACCACAGGAGTGCTTGCCATGAAGAAAGAGAGCACGATTACTAGGACTGCAGGCCCACAGTCACCGCTCTGCAGCCAGCACCCCAGACGGCACAGCCCTCACCGGCGCCACCTCAGGAGAGCCTGCGCTAAAAGCCCCAGCTGTGCCACTCGCAAGTGCAGGCGCCGGGAAACCACGGGGTGATGCACGCTCGTGGTTTAAGTCCTAAGCTCTGGGGAGGCTCATGGTGCAGCAACAGATAACCGCACGGTACAGGCGGGCAGGGCAGGAGGACGCCTGCCCTGGGCTCAGGCACAGCTCTCCTCTCACATCTGCGTACTTCTAGAACGAGCTAAGAGACCTCCCCAAGTTGTCATAAGGACAAGATGCAAAGTGCCGAAAGCACCAAATAGAATACCTTTCCTGACACACACAGGCTGCTCAGGAAGAAGCAGCAGAACTGCACTCCATCCTAAACCCACCTTGTCAGCACCGCCAACCCCAGGGGGGTCCCATCCAACCAGCCCCGAGCAGGGAATGAGGTGATGCCACCGCGACTCGCCCAGGGGAAAGTCTGTCATCTCAGAAGGCCAGGCAGAAGCTGCTGATGCTCTTTACGCCAGGGGAGTTCATTGTCAGGTTACCCTCAGCAGCAGCAGTCATCAAAAGTGACATTCTCAGGGGGAGGTGTTGGACCAACACCACCACTGTCCAGGACATCTTCATTAACAACATGGGCCAGTGGCCAACCCCCTAACTCTTCCCCCTGCAGGTCTGCAGAACCGGAGGCCATAGAGGTGCTGCCGCAGCTTACCCGTCGCACAGAAGCGCCACGCAGTTCTCCTGGCACCAGAACGCAATCCTGGACGCAGCAAACCTCTGAAAGAAGCAGCCCATTAATTTAACGCCAGCTGCAGGGGCCTGACGCTGGGTGCTCTGATCCAACAAGAGCAAAACCGAAGGACGCTCACACCCCCACATACCAAGGAAGAGGAAATAGCGCTGGAACATTCTGGAATCAGCAGAGAAACAAGGGTAGCCGATTCCCTGTTTCCCAAGCAGATGGCAAAAGCCCCCCAGTGGCTCTGACACTCCCTACAGGGCCTGTGACAGCCTCCAAAGCCAACAAAATGGGTCAGACAGTGAGGAGAGGAGGGAGCGGAGGACACGGAAAGGAAGAGACGAGAGCTACACACACAACTGCCCTGGGAGCTCCCACGCTTCCTGGCAGAGGAAATAGTAAAAATGAAGAAGAGGCTGGGCACAGTGGCTCACGCCTTTAATCCCAGCTACTCAGGAGCCTGAGGGGGAGGTTGCTGTGAGTCGAGATAGCACCACTGGACTCCAGTCTGGGCAAGAGTGAGACTCCATCTCAAAAAAAAAATTTTTTTTTAAATGAAGGAAACTTCCAGGAACCTGAGTCCATGTGAAGCATGGAGGAAAAGGCCTGGTCCTCTCTTACACGGCTGCCTGGCAGGGGGCAGAGGCCACATCACACAGTTCTCTAGGAAACAGAACAGACCATTTGGCGGGAAACTTTGCCAAGGCCTGGGCTTTCAGGGCATCATGAGATTGCTCCAAGCCGGCCGGAGAATGCTGGGGTGGGCCTGGTCCCGCCCCTGCCTCACCTGGCTGGCAGACCCACAAAGGTGCATGCTCAAGCACTTCTACTCCTTCCACTTCAGAAAAGGATTAGAGGTCTTCCTGTACGTTAACTGTTTGCATGCAACGGTGAGACAAACTATTTCCCCCTGACGTGACTAGCCACCTTCAGAATTTGAAATATGAGATTTCCCTCACACAGGAAGAAGTCTGGCATTGAGAGCAAATGTTTCCAACGGCGAAGTGCCTTTTCACTCAAGCCAAGCGACTGCAGGTGCCTACAAGCACTCAGTCGCCCAGGAGTGAACAGAAGCAGCTACCTGGGGGGTCTGGGGGTCCACCAGCTCCTGTAGACTGGCCAGGTGACAGCAGTGCAGCTGGCGGCCGCTCCTGTACTCCCAGAGCCTCAGGGTACCGTCCTGCACACACCAAACACACAGGTTAGCACACGGTCGCAGGGCTTCCGTCAGGCAAGGTGACAGAGAGGACAGCTGCATGTGGTCGGGGGTCCACTCAGTGACAGCCATGCCATCCACCTTCAGGAATTAAAGGCTCTCTGCTCGGACTGCGTAAATCACTCATGCAAATCATCAAGAACAACAGTGGAGAAAGGAAGGTGACCGACTGCCTGTTTCTCGAGTGCCAATATGCCCAGGCAGATGACAAAGCCAATGAGGCAGATCCCAGCAAAATGAGCCAAGGCCACCAGACGGCCAGGTTGTCATCTGCCAGGAGGCCAGACCACACCTGCTGTGCCCGGGCCAGGCACAGACACGGGAATGCACACAGGTGCAGACACTTCGCTTCAGCAATCATGCATTCCCACAGGGAGACACGCGTGGCCTCACGAGCGCGTGGCCACCGCTCCATTTCACTAAGAATGACAGGAAGGACATGGTCATCGGCAACCATCCTATGGCGACTGGTACAACCCTTCAGGAAGCCAACACGGGAACCAAGAGCCTCCATGCTCTAAAACCACCATAAATGGAAAAAAGGGTTTCTCTTTTTTTCTTGGTTTTATCTGTTGTTATTTTTTTGTTTAATTGAAATGGGGTGTATGCCACGCGGCCCGCTGCAGTGCAGTGGCTATTCACAGGCTTGCTCCCGGCTCACTGCAGCCTCTGACTCCCAGGTCCAGGCAATCCTACTGCCTCAGCCTCCGAGTGGCTGGGACCACGGTAGGAGCCACCACACCTGGCTTAAAAAAATTCATTACAGCACTAATTAAGTGGAGAGAAATAAATCAATACTCACTAAATCTAACGAGAGTGTCTGTGCACTATCTGTGAGTATTTTTAAAAGACTAAATGAAAAAGATGAAAAGTAAATACCCCAAACAGCTAACAGTAGATGCATATCCTCTGGGTGCCAAGGTAAGAGTGGATGTATGAATGCACACACACACACACGCACACACACACAAGCACGCACACACACCTTGCCACAAATGTGGCAGATAAACATGGAGACCAACACACACATCTACAGGTATTTCACTCACCTCCAAACTTCTCTACAATGACAAGAAAAAGATATTTAATAACCATGAACCCACTAAGACAAAGGCAACAGGTAAGTAGAGAAGGCAGCCGCGGAGAGACAAGGAAACCTGGGGACTTGAGGCCAGGGAACAAACAGGCCAGCCACAGAGAAGCCCGAGAGGTGCCAGGACCTTCCGAAGACCAAACTGGGCCAGGCAGCTGAAGGCCAAGGTGGTGAGGGGAGCTGTCAAATGTCTTTCCAAAGAGAAGCAGGACCTCCCCGATGCATCCTCAGCCCCAAACTCCAGGCCAGCAGAAGGCTCTGGGGAACCGGAGCCGAGAGGCCCTGTCTCAGGGATGCCAAATACCCAATGAGGAGAGGGCCACCTAGCCCCTTCGCGCTCACCTCCCAGAGCCCCAGGGGACAGACCTGGGGAAGAGTGAAGGCCGGGACACTGACCACCCAGAAGAGACCAACTGACCCACACATTCTACGGGGTCCACAAGCAAGGGGCTGCTGCCCACACTCAGACACCTGCTCTGAAGCCCCTCGGGCCCCATCCTAGGCGCACGCATCCAGCCTCTGAGGCCGGCTGGTGCTGATTCCCACCACACACAGGCAGATGGGATCACCAGACATCCGACAAAAACCTCCAATGAGAAAGGCGGCAACACGCTCCAGAGAAGGGAATCAAACACAACGCCAGGAACAAATCGAAGACAGACAAGCCCATGCTCATCTCAGGAGATAAGAGACACGTGCGCTATCCAAGAATGGGTGGCTCAAAAAAGAACGTGCCGAGGGCAAGAAAGAACTGAAGATTCAAAACAATTCTAATAAAACTCAAGTCTCCACAGAAGGCTGGAAGTAAAGCTGAAGCAATCTCCCAAGACTATTCCTAAAGAAGTAGAAACACGAGACTGAACAGGAAAGAAAAGAAATAGAGAATTATGGCCAGGCATGGTGGTTCTCGCCTATAATCCCAGTAGGTGGAAGTGGGTGGATCACTTGAGGTCAAGAGTTTGAGACCAACCTGGCCAACTTGGCAAAACCCCATCACTACAAAAGTATAAAAAGTGAGCACGTTGTGGTGGTGTGTTGCCTGTAATCCCAGCGACTCGGGAGGGCTGAGGTGGGAGGATTGCTTGAGCCTGGGAGGCAGAGGTTGCAATGAACCGAGATCATGCCACTGCACTCCAGACTGGGCGACAGAGCAAGACCCTATCTCAAAAAAAATAAGAATCAGAGAATTAAAATGGTTCAACTAACACAAGCTTTAGAAAAAGCCAGCAGGAGGCGGGGATAGAGAACAGAAAGCAATTATGTAAGAAAATGCCCCAGGTCGGAGGACACAGGAGATAACTGGCTGCACAGCCAACTCCTCTCCGGGGTCCACCAAGTCACCTCAGCGGCTTCGACATCGCACACTGGGGCAGAGAAGGCCCTCCAGGCAGGACAGCCCAGCTGTCACCCCACGGACCCACAGCAGACGGCTGCAGGCTTCTACGGGAAGAGCGAAGGGAAGCCCACAGGAGCAACCAGCGGGAGAGCAGAGCGGGCAAGGCCTCTCAAGCTCTGAGGGAAACCGTTTCAACCAGGACTTGTCCGCCAAACTAACAACCAGGCCTCAAAAGGAGATTAAAGGTAATTCCAGAAAGGCAAAGTCAGAAAACACCCTCCTTACGTCTTCTGGCAGCTAGATGACACGTTCCACTCAAACAAAGCAGAAAGCCACGAGGGACAGATGGGGCCTGGGGAGGCCTCTCTGCCCGTGGAAGATTCTCCTCACTATCATGAAAAAGACTGGAAGGTCTACAACAAAACGCTGTCGAAGCCTGACCCTGACCCCCCGGAGACTGTGGCCACACTGTTCTTCTTCTCACATGGCTGTGCATTAATTTAAAGAGCAGGGAACAGGAGGCTTCGAATGAAGCCCAATCAGAGAAGAAATGTAGGAGCGGCCGGAAGGTCCATCAGCCATCCTGCCACACCACACAAGGGACCAACACAGACAACACAGGGAAGGACAGCGGAGAGGAAGGTGGTGGGATGCGGGCAACAATTCCACGAAAGGACAGAATCAGACCCTGTGAGGAATCCGAGGCCCTCACTTTGGCAAAATCACTAACAATCCTTCTACTGTATTCCTCAGGGGAAACACGTCTCATCACTGAACTGTAAGGCTTCCAGGACCCAACCGCTGGGACACAGAAGTTGTAGCCAGCAAGTAAACATGCACTGCGGTAACCCGGGTGCGGGGACCTGAACCTGTGGTCCCAGCTACTTGGGAGGCCGAGGAGGCAGATTGCTCGAGCCCAGGAGTTTGAAACCAGCCTGAAAAAATGTAGCAAGAGCCCATCTCAAAAAGAAAAAAAAAATGCAGCCCATAATGGGATGGACTGAGACCCCTCCAGGAGTCAGACAGGCCCCCGTCTACTGTGTCTACCTGAGATCCTGATCGCCGATACTATCGCAGATGGAGCAGCCGCCCTCTCAGAAGGGAGCCTTCCACACACCTGTTCTAGTTCATCCCACGTGTGAACACACACGCACCTGCACACGCCCCACACACAGTCCTGAATGAGCAGCACGAGCGGGGAGCGAGCCGCAGGCAGCTCTAAGATTCGAAAACAAGCACCATCTAGTGGACAGCCGCGGACACCCAGGGCCAGCGATCCAGAGGGGCCAGTTCCAGGAGGCGCCCACCCCACCCTCCCCGCAGGCCTAAGAATCCAGAGGTGAGTGACGCTGGGCAGAACACTTACCCCAGAGGAGGACAGAAGCAGTCCGGGCTGAGTGGGCACCACGGAGATGCGGCTCACAAACCTGTGAGGGTGAGAGAGAGAAGCAGAGTCAGCTAGCCCAGCAGCCGCGGGGACGGGAAGGCCTGGGGAAGTTGGCTGTTCATCTAAGGAAGAGAGGCCTCTGCCCCAAACCCCCGACCCAGTAAAAACAGCCAACGTGGGAAGTATCTGTTAACCCTAACCTGGTTAGGGTTAACCAGGTGTAGGCCCCTGGACACGATCGGGGAGGTAAGTGAGGTCATTCCTGGGTCCCCAACAGCACAGCAACCTCTAACCCAGGCTGCTCCTCAGCCATGCCTGCCAGAGACCCAAGCACCTCTGTGCCCCTCTGCAGCCCCCTCTGCAGCAGCTCTGCTCAGCGGCACCTCCATAGGCCCCCAGCACCCACCTGGCCCAAGGCACCTGCACTGTGATGAAAGGAGCCTTGGGGGAGACTCAAAGACACAGCACACAGGGAGGAGGGAGGAGGGAGGAGGGAGAAGCAGCCAAGCCCCCAGACAGATTTCTATCAGGGTCCGACAGCCCCTCAGCAACAACTCTGAGTGACCTGGCCAGAGAGCTGTCTCTGCTGAGCCCGGCCCAGTCCTCCTGTGAGGGCTTGGCCTGCAGCTGCACAGGACCCAAAGTCATAGGCACCCTCCCATCAGCACAGCCACGAAGAGTGACCCGAGCAGCCCAGCTCGCCCGGAAACCCATCTGGCTCGGGCACCTACAAGGGTGACAAGCTCCTTTTCTTCCTGCTCTAACACAGTGACCTCAAGCAATCCCTCATGCACGGGTTCCCAGGGACCCTGGAATGGGGTGGCTCGTGAGACTCACTCCATCTCCGCCAGTCATGGCCTCTGCTACCTTGAGCTAGCCATGGCATGAGCTGGGCCCAGTCCTGCAGCCACCGCCCTGCACGGCACCACAGCAGTGACAGCAGCCCACGGCCCAGGACAGATAGGGCACAGGACGCCCCATGCAGAGGGTACGAGTGGCCTCACAGTTCTCAACAGTTTGAAAGGAGTTTCACCATGGGTTTGAAACAAACATCTCAAAAACTTCTCCTTCTAATCACTGCAGTATCTACTGAGTGCCTACTCATGCCAGGCACCACGCTGAGGGCTGCACACAGCAACAGGCCCAACCGACCCACAGAACCACTCAGACGCAGCGGGAGACGGCCAGTGAACCAACCGATACTGCAGTGTCAGCAAAGGGTACGGAACAGCGCCATCCAGCAGAAACGCGGCTCCAGCCACACGGGGGCCACGCGGGTTTGTTTTCAATTTGCCAGTCACTGTGTTGAAAAGTAAACGAGCAGGCCAGACGCAGTGGCTCACGCCTGTAATCCCAACACTTTGGGAGGCCAAGGCAGGGAAATCACGAGGTCAGGAGATCAAGACCAGCCTGGCCAACATAGTGAAACCCCATCTCTACTAAAAATACAAAAAAAGTTAATCAAGTATGGTGGCAGGAGCCTGTAGTCCCAGCTACTTGGGAGGCTGAGGCAGAAGAATTCTTGAACCTGGAAGGCGGAGGTTGCAGTGAGCCAATATCGCACCACTGCACTCTAGCCTGGGCAACAGAGGGAAGAAAGAGAAAAGGAAGGAAGGGAGGGGAGGGATGGAGTGCGGGGGAGGGGAGGGGAGGGGAGTGAGGAAGGAAGAAAGCTATTGAAGTTAATTTTAATACTATGTTTTTACTCAATATATCCAAGTGATGAAGCATTTCCCTAGAGGGCTGGGAAGCATGTTCCCGTCAGCAGAAATCTCCCTCATGTGCCTGGTGAGGCAAGGGAGCTGCAGACACCCCAGCTAGAGATGGCGAAGGGGAGGGGCCCGGGGGCTGCAGTCCAGAGAACTCCGGAGCTGGATCACTAGGGAACTAAATGCAAGTCAGAATAGCTATCCTGAGGCACACACCAGTGACTGGTCTTCTTAAACAGGAAATGTTTGCATCCGTTCAAAACCAGGAAAATGTAGGCAACCTCGGCACTGAATTCCCTCCCTCCAGTTTCTTCCACTGCCTCAAATAATGTATTTTAAAACATTTCAGCCAATTACACTGAGCACTTTTCCTCTGTGTAAATTCTAATGAGCCTTTTGTGTGAGAGAGAAGCGGGCACTCAGGAACACCTCCACGTGGGTCCTGGCAGAGCTCGTTTTGTGAGAGAGAGAAGCGGGCACTCAGAAACACCTCCACACGGGTCCTGGCAGAACTTGCTGCCACGAGAGAGGCCGCCGCCGGGCCGCAGAGGCTGCTTAATTCTTGCATAGCTGAAATCATGGAAGTTTGTCCTCGCCCCCAACACACCCACCGCCCACCAGCCAACAACGGCCGGGCATGGCGCAGGGCTCTCCACACTGAGACAGGGGTTTCCCAGAAACAAGCCCTCCCGTTCGGTCAGGACCAACGGGAAGTCACCGCACAGACTACGGGCAACAGCGCAGAGTGAACCCCACCCTTTCAGGGCTTCTGCAGGCAGCACCCACGGCGCCTGCGGTGACCAAGCACCAGGGCTGCTGTCACCTGCGTGGGGCCTCGCCAGCTACAGTGGCACCTGCTGAGCTGCAAGCTGATGCTGTTTTCAAAAAGAGCTTTTTTCTGCTGGAGGGGCAGGAAGCGGCACTCACTCTGTGTGCCCCAAGCAGAAGGACTCGATGCTGTGGGGCGCCGCGGCCCAGCTGACTCGGATCTTCTCGTCTCGGTCGGCAGTGAGGATGAAGCGGTCATCAGGACTCACAGCCTGCACCACCAGGGGCCAGAAAAGAAACAGATGCTCACCTGAGTCTTCCCGAATCCAGTCCCTCATGGAAGCAGGCAGGGAGGCTGCAGCCTGGCTGCCAAGAGGATGCGGCCTTTGAGGACAGACCAGCTTGGCTCCTCCCTTCCTCCTGTCCCTGCATCTAATTGTTGGCCCTCCTTCTCCCTCCCCAGAGGGTCCCCGGCCACCTCCAGCCCTCACTCCTCAGCGCTAGAGCAGGCTTCTGGGGTAGGGCTGGGCCACCCCTGCCTGCCCGTCTCCCGAATCTCGGCAAATCCAGGCCCCACTCCCATTTCCACCCACCCCAGGCCCGCTGCACCCTCATGCCCAACACTGGGTTGCCTTCCTGTCACACATGTCCCCACACCCAGCTGTCACCAAGTCCCAGTGAGGTTCCCTTGATACCCCGCACTCGCCACTGTTCCTGACTGTCCCTGCATGCGTCCAATCCCAGCTCTACCACCCGGGCTGTGGGCCTGGGCCCTCTGGAGCTCCACATGTTTGTCTGTGACACATGGGGCAGGCAGAATGGGGTGACAGGGGCTGCTGGGAGCAGTGCTGAGGTGATGTTCCTATAGCACCTGGCACAGCTCCGGGCCAAGGAGGCGAAGCCAGAGGCTCGTGGCTGCACCTGCTCCTCCCACACCTCATTGCGATCTGGGGCCACCCCACTGGCCACCTCCTGCCTCACCTGCCTTCTTCGTTCTCCCTGCTGCCTGCTTCACCTTCCTAAATCCTGTTCCCACCACTCCCCTGCTCCCAAATCTGCAGAAGGCTATCCCTGCTATGGGGGAGCCCCACTCTCCCCACCAGATGCTGGGGCGCAGACCGGGCAGACACTGACTCAGCCTGTACCCCACATACCATGCCCCCCAAGTACTGCGTCTAACAGCATGGACAGGTGCCCCACCTGCCTGAGCCTTGACAGGGCAGACATTGACTCAGCGCATGCCCCACGTACCGCGTCCTCCATGTACCGCGTCCTCCATGTACCGCGTTCCCCATGTACCGCGTCCTGCATCTACCATGTCCCCCACCTACCGTGTCCCCCACCTACCACATCTAACAGCATGGACAGGTGCCCCACCTGCCTGAGCCTTGACTGGGCAGACATTGACTCAGCACATGCCCCACGTACCGCATCCCCCATGTACCGCGTCCTGCACCTACCATGTCCCCCACCTATCGTGTCCCCCACCTACCACATCTAACAGCATGGACAGGTGCCCCAGCTCTAGATGGCCACACCCGTGTGGCTCCAGCACCGAAAAGGAGTAGACGTCTCCAGACTTGTCGGCCACCAAGACCTTCTCCTCAGAGGCTATGAAGGTCAGGGCTGTACACCTCCTCGCCACGGTCCTAGAAGGCCAGAGAGACACCCCCATTAGCTTCCAGAAGCAGCACAAGGTCCTTGACAGCCCAGCAGGCCCTGTGGGCAGTGGTAGGCACCGGTACCTGATCATATGCTCTGTTTTCCAGCTGCTGAAGATGGTGCCAAAAAAATTAAGCAATGCTAACAACTGGAACAAAGCCAGTGCCTTTGACAAACTTACTTTCACAACATTTTTCTTTAAGAAAATTGCTCCTAGCCAGGCGTAGTGGCTCACGCTTGTAATCCCAGCACTTTGGGAGGCCGAGGCGGGAGGATCACGAGGTCAGGAGATGGAGACCATCCTGGTTAACAGTGAAACCCCATCTCTACTAAAAATACGAAAAATTAGCCGGGCGCAGTGGCGGGAACCTGTAGTCCCAGCTACTCGGGAGGCAGAGGCAGGAGAATGGTGTGAACCTGGGAGGCGGAGCTTGCAGTGATCCAAGATGGCGCCACTGCACTCCAGCCTGGGGAACGGAGCAAGACTTCGTCTCAAAAAAAAAAAAGAAAATTGCTCCTGATGGTGGGATCTAGGTGGTGGATAAAAGGGTGACAAAATCCTCAGCTTTCCTGTGTGTTTGAAAACTGTCATCAAGAAATGGGGGAATGGTTCCTTGACCCCACAGTCTTCATTGTACATTGAGGGAGACAACGGCCCTCTCCATAAATGCTGAGTGTGCTGGGGGCCACTGTCAAGGACAAAGGCAGCCACCAGCCTCCAGGGCCCCCCAAGCCTTGCTGCTCCCGACCTGCACTGACCCCTGCTGTCATTCTGCTGCGTCGGACCAGGAGCCTCAGACAGCCAGCCATGCATCATGCCCTGCAGAGGGATGGAGGGGCCCGGCCACCCTCGGGGCAGGACCCAGCCCAGGGCAGCAGTGAGGCAGCACCCTACCCTCCTTGGGAGGAAGCGCCGCTACCCAGCGCGTGAGAGGCCTGCGCTCCCCACAGTCCACATCCAGATCAGCACATCCACGAATCCAACCCTGACCCAGAGTCACGGATGCGCCAGAGTTCCAGATACAGCACGTCTGCACACTCATTCCATAAGAACCAAAGTCACAGTTTGCTCCCTCTCCTTCACCAGGGCTCAGGGCTACACTACTTCCTGGGGCTCTCATTTCCACACCATTTCTACTGGAATCATCCCGTATTTGTGTCCTTTCCACAAGGCAGGGACCCTATGTTCTATTTTACATAGATATGAGTTGTAACACTGCTTCCCACACACGCAGTTAGCCACAGGGCCTCACCGTAGAACAGCGGCCAGCCCTGCTTCACCACCCCCAGGGCTGTGGCGGTGCACACTGCCCAAGACACAGCCAACACCAGGCAGACAAGTACAGCGTGCCCGGCCCCCTGCGGCTGGAAATGCAGATGGAAGCTTCAGGAACGCTGTCCTCAACAAGGCCCCTGTTTCTCTCAGGGGCAGAGGGACAAAAGGACAGAAAAGGGCAGGCAGGACCTTTGGGTCACACCACAGCCTGGAAGCAGCGCCCCTCCTCCTCCCCCGCAGCTGTGCAGTGCAGCTGCAGAAAGGAGGCAGAAGGGAAGCGTAACAGGGTAAACACAGAGAAAACAAGGACAAAGAAAGATAATGACGCTCTGGGGCAAGATTAATCAGAATTCTCAGGGTGCACTGTAATTTAAACAAACAGCCCTGCGCTGCGCTAGCAACAGAGCCCCCAATGTCCGATGGCCTCATTAAGCAGCTGCCACAAACACGACCATGGTGGCACAGAGGAGCAGCCCAACAGGACGCCACGGGGAGGGGGGCTGGACTTGGACTCACGGGGCGCTCATCCCCACAGCCAGGCTGGAAGGCGCGTGGCACAGATGGCCCCCAACACCGCGCCTCCTGCCCAGCTCAGCAGAGGGCACTGCTCCTCGTCCCTTTGTCCTGCCCCAGCCGGAGGCTCCCAGCCTCTCCAGCTGGGCTTATCCTGGCACCGATTCTAGGATGCAGCTGAGCCGTACTCACGGGCTTGGGTGCTAGGATCCGAGGGAGGTCACAGAATGGGGCAGGTCATTGGACCAACGGCAAGCTGGCCTGTCACCCTAGCTGAGGCACAACCCCACCCTCAGACCACCAGCCTGTGCAGGGTCTCGGGTCTCAGCACTCCCTCCACAGTCACTGGGTTCAGGGCCCAGAGACCAGCAGAACCCAGCAAGTATCTGCCCATCTCCACAGGCCCCCCAGGGGGGCCAGGCCCTCTGTCCTCTGCCGGAAGTCGAGTGGCTGAGCCCTGAACCCCCAGACTGAGTTGGCGCTGCCCCGAGCCCCCCTCCAGAGATCCGCCTGGGCAGCCCCAACAGGGCACTGAGGGCGCCAGGCACCATCCACACCCACACTCCAGCAGCCAGGCACTCTCTCTCCATCCCACAGGCAGAGCAAATCGGATGGTTTCCTGGCTCTGCCTTTCCCACGTGCTGCCGTGGCCCTCACAGGCATTTTCGGAAACACTGACTCCACTGGGAGGATTCCTCCCTCATAAACGCACATGTCAAAATCAATGTGTCACTCATCACCCTGTGTCCTCATCTTTGGTTTGGAAAGCCTGGCCTCGGTCTCTCGGGCCAGGAGTCTCCTGACTGCCCAGGTGGCAGGCCCTCTGGCCCGTGCGGTTCTAAACCACTACCTGGGCAAGAATTGTTGCTGCCCACAACTTCCATCGTGGCTGTGCCTCAAAACCCTTCAACAGGAAGCTTATCAGCAGCTCAGTAACAAAGCCACCACTGGACAGAGCCTGGTGTCTCGTCCAGCTCAGGGGCATCCCGCAGCAGTGCAGGGCCTCAGTGAAACGCACATAGGCCACGAGTACATGGAACCTCTAAAACTGAATGGAGGTGGATGTGCTAAGCGTAGGTGGTTTTCTGGGAAGAGGGTGCATCCGATCTAAGAGTCTGCGTAAAAAGGCTCCAGGTGTGGGGAGCAGCCCCCATGTTTGCGGACCAGGCACAGGGTGCTGCCTGCCAGTTCAGCATGGTTCCACTCATCCCCGTCCTCTCCTTGAAAGCAGCTCCTGATAAAACTCACCCTATGCCCTTCTCCCTGCCCCACTCTCATCCCCCAAATGTACTCCTCCTGCCACAATAATCCCCTCCACTTTCTCACTGAGAGAAAGCGTAAAGATTTCACTCCACCTGATGCTGAAAAGTTTACAAACCCACAATTCTAAAGGAATTTTAAAAAGATTATTGAGGAATTTGCCAAGGGATGTTGAAAGTGGCAGTAACTTCACACCTGTGCCCACTGTCCTGCAGTTCAACTAGAGAAAGGGGAGGCGGCAACGCGTGCCCCACACCAAGGTCAGGAGAAATCCCAAGCACACGATCGAGGCCGGAGTTTGTAATTTGCTGCCTGGACTGCACCAAATCACATGGTCCGTCTTCCATACCACCTAAGGCAAACATTCCCTACACGAAGTTATACCACTGACATCACTTTCAAAACCAAGAGTAGGCCGGCAGCAGTGGCTCACGCCTGTAATCCTAGAGCTTTGGGAAGCCAAGGTGGGCAGATCACCTGAGGTCAGGAGTTCAAGACCAGCCTGGCCAACGTGGCAAAACCCCATCTCTACTAAAAATACAAAAAATTAGTCAGGCATGCTGGTTCATTCCTATAATCCCAGCTACTCAGGAGGCTGAGGCAGGAGAATCACTTGAACCCAGGAGGCGGAGGTTGCAGTGAGCCGAGACCACGCCACTGCACTCCAGCCTAGGTGACAGAGAGACACACCACTACACACACACACACACACACACAAAAACAGTGAACTCGCAGGTAAAGGGGCACTGACAGGAGCCAGCCTCTGCTCCTTGCTCACGCACCACAGGCTGCCCATCCCTCATCCCAAATGCATGGGACCAAAAGTGCTTTGCATTTCAGATTTGTTCAGGTTTTGGAATATTTGCAAATACTTACTGGCTCAGTATCCCTAACCCAAAAATCCAAAATCCGAAACATTCCAGTGAGCATTTCCTTTGAGTATCTTGCCTGTGCTCAAAAAATTTCAGATTTTGGAGGACTCTGAATTTCAGATTAGGGGTACTGAGTGCACTGCCCACTCTTGGACTTGTGCTTTTTGTTTTTTTTTTTTCGTAGAGATGAGATCTCACTATGTTGAGGCCAGACTGGCCTCGAACTGCTGGCCTCAAGCAATCCTCTCGCCTTGGCCTCTCAAAATGCTGGGATTATAGGCGTGAGCTACAATGCCAGCCTCCCAGAGTTTTACCAGGTGTTTACATAAAGAGAATCACACCAGCACACGACCTTCAAAAGGGGAGTCCACACAGCCAGACATCTCCCTCTCGGCAAAGCACCTGCAACCAAGGATGAAGAGGCCCCGCCCCCAACCAGGCGGCAGCGGTGTCTGCACCCACCGTGAGTCCCAAATCACAGAACTCCCAACCTCAAACAGCCTCCTCCAAGAACCTCAAACCTCCTTCCGAGAACCTCAAACGGCCTCCTCCGAGAACCTTGAACAGCCTCCTCCGAGAACCTCAAGCGGCCTCCTCGGAGAAGCCAACTGCACAGGCAACCACATTGAGGGGAGAGAATTCTAGACTCCTCCCTGCTCTGGGCCATGCACAATGCCAGGAGCAGAGGCCCTGTCCCTCTGCAGGAGTCAGAACCCCTGGAGGAGCCCTGGGCCTCCGCACTTCCATCAAGGTGAAGCAGCTCCACTGTTAGGAACCAGGACACAGCGGGCAGGCGGACTGGACATACCCTTTCTCCCAAGTTCAAAGTGAGACACTACCTCTAGACAGCCAGCCCACATTGAAGTGACATTCCACCCACGTCTCCATCTTTCTGGTGACCTCAGAACTTCACAGCCACAGCACTGTCCGGACTTGAAAGAGTTCAAGACACGAGCAAGCTCCCTGCCCCTCACCCCTACCCCCCGCCAGGCCTGTGGCACACACAGCCAGACCCCACCTCCCCTACCCTCTGCGGGCAGTGGCTACTTCTCAAATGGTGTCTGGT